TTTTGGCTGGAGTCACTATATCAGTTACACTAAGAATAGCTAACTTCGACTGCGGAAGATTAACTGTTTCTTAGTAGCTCAATTGGATCCTTTAGAAGCTATGAATATCCTTTATGGACTTTGTTTAATATCTATCTAGCATACATGTTCTGGTTTAGTTATGTCTAAGAATTGTAAGACCGAATCGGATCCTTATTTTGCAATAATAAAATTGTGTCCTTCATCAAAGATATCCAATAACATCAGTTGTTTAGAAGCAAATATGGTAAAAGCTGCATTTTATTATTATCATGGAAAAACAGTGTAAAAGGTAAATCTCTGAAGTATAGAATAAGTGTTTTCTTATCTGAGATCATTTCGTGCAATTAGATACTACTCCCTCTGTTGCAACTTGTCTGTCTGGTTTTGACTTGACACGAAGTTTAAGAAAGTAAAGAAGACTTACAATTAGAGATATGGACACGTAATATATATCCTGTATAATAAGTAATGTTGGAATAATCTCATGAATATTTTTTGTGGTCTATGTAAGAACATTGTTATTTTTAGCATTTGCTTCGACTACTGATTTAGTTATTTTCCATCTCATCATATTTGTCCTTTTTTTCCCCTGTAGTCTTTGAGGAAATTGGCTTAAAGACTTGGAAGTTTTTTAAACATCTATTTCTACTACAACTACATGGATGTGAAAAGTCTTGTGGAAAATTATAGAATATGACTCACAAGTTTGAAAAATTCCACACGGTATCAAAAATGTTACGTTTCGTCTAAGTAGATGTAGGAGTTAAATCATGTCTTTAATAATTGTTAATTTTTTATTTTTCTCACTCCACTTAGTCAAGCAACAGTATCTCTCATTGGAAATTTGTTACAATTCTGCAGCAAATGTTCTACCGTGTGTCTTACATAATGGGACCAATTCACATTGACTTAGGTGACACACTGCAGAGATAGTCGATAACCTTGAAATGAAACAACATTTAGAGAAAACAAATATGGAATAATTGGTACTAGCCACTAGGGGTGTACATGATCGGGTTGATTTGAATGTTCCAAATATCAAACCAAACTATTTGTGTAAAATTTTAAATTTATAAATCAAACCAAACTAATAAAATTCAGATTTTTTGGGGTTTTTCAACCTCGGGTTGGTTCGCGTTTTTCACTTGTGACTTGTTAACTGGTCATGTTATCGGATTGGACCTTAGTTGCAGTTTGCTTTTGGGTACTATTCATCCCAATAGCAGCATCTTCCAGCTCCATCATCTCCGGACACTAAACCTTGCTTACATGACTTCTATTCTTCTTCAATCCCACATAACATTGGCCGATTGACGAATTTGAGGCATCTCAACCTTTCTGGTTCTTTCTTTGAAGGGGAAATCCCAACAGAAATATCATACCTTTCCTATTTGGTTTCACTTGGACTTAATTGTTATGAATGTGAACTTGATGAGAGAACATTTGAAACAATTCAGAACTTCACAAATCTAGAGGTACTATCTCTCCATGGTGTCAACATCTCATCTTCAATACCTGTGCATATTTCTTCATCCTCCTTAAGGTACATGGATCTTGGACATACTAATCTGCGAGGTGTTCTCACAGAGAGCTTTTTCCTTCTGCCAGGATTGGAAAGGCTCTATTTGAGTTCCAATGAACTTCTCAAAGGAGTTTTACCAAAGATCCACCCGAGCAACACTCTGTTGGAGTTGGATATTTCTAACACAGGAATCTCCGGTGAGCTGCCTGATTCAGTTGGCACCTTGAGTTCCTTGAATATCTTGAACCTCAAAGGATGCCAATTCTCTGGTTCCATTCCTGATTCCATTGGCAATCTTACACAAATTAAGTATTTGGATTTCAGTAATAATCATTTCACCAGCCATATTCCATCCACAATCTCTCAGTTGAAGCAGCTCACATATCTACATCTTTCGTCCAACTCTTTTTCAGGTGAAATTCCCGACATCTTCTCTAACCTCCAAGAGCTAAGTTATTTATATCTTGGTAACAACAGCTTCATCGGTTCGTTTCCTTCTACAATTGTAAGCTTGCCACATCTACAAGACTTAGACTTGTCGAGTAATTCCCTATCTGGCCCACTGCCTAATAATGTGAGCATGCTTCAAAAGCTAACCAAACTGAATTTGTCCTACAACTCAATGAATGGTACCATACCATCTTCTGTGTTTAGCCTCCCTTTGCTAGGTCAGTTGTGGCTCGATAACAATAGATTTAGTGGATTACCCGATGAGCTCAAAACAAACCCAACATTAGCACGCCTGGATTTAAGCCATAATCAACTCAGTGGTTCTTTTCTTCAATCACTTTCGAATCTCACAAACCTTTCTATCCTTGACCTTTCATCGAATAACATCACCGTCGATGAGGGAATACAAATCACTTTTCCTAGCCTACAAGATTTGTGGTTATCATCTTGTGAACTGAAGGATTTTCCACACTTCTTGAGAAATGTGAAGTCACTTTGGGTCTTGGATATTTCTAACAATAAGATTCGTGGCCAAATCCCAAACTGGTTTAGCGGCATGAGGTGGGACTACTTGTGGTACCTAAACCTTTCGCATAATTCTTTAACAGGCCACCTACAACAATTTCATTTCCATAATCTATGGTATCTTGATCTTAATTTAACTCCCTTCAGGGTCCACTCTCTTCATCCATTTGTAACATGATCAAGCTTGAATTTCTGGATTTATCACGCAACAACTTCAGTATCTCGATTCCAAGCTGCTTGGGAAGCATGTCTAGTCTAAAAGTGTTGGACTTAAGAAGGAGCAATTTCACTGGGAATCTTTCTCCATTATGTGCGAAGAGCACTTCATTGAGTACCATTGTCTTGAATGACAATCACTTTGAAGGAACTCTCCCTGTGTCGTTGCTCAACTGTAGCGGTTTAGAAGTTCTTGATATGGGGAATAACGCTATAAATGACCTATTTCCATCTTGGCTAGGAACACTTCAAGAACTGCAGGTTCTAATATTAAAGTCCAATGTGTTCCATGGACCAATTAGGACTTGTCAGACTACGTTTTGCTTTCCCAAGTTGAGAATTTTTGATCTCTCTCATAATGAATTCAGTGGCTCACTTCCTGCAAATTTTTTTGGAAACTTCAAGGCAATGATTAAATTAGAGGGTGAAGACACAGGACAGATTGAGTACATGAAACCACACGAAAATACAATTTACACATCGTATGACGATTCTGTGAGTTTGGTGATCAAAGGCCAGGATGTTGTGCTAGAAAGAATCAGCACAATTATGACAACCATAGACCTCTCGAGCAACCATTTTGAAGGTGTCATTCAGCAAACACTAAAGGATCTCAGCTCACTTTGGCTTCTCAATTTATCCCATAACAATCTCACAGGTGATATTCCAATGGAATTGGGGAAATTGAATACGCTTGAAGCGTTAGATCTCTCTTGGAATAGGCTCACTGGAAAGATTCCGCAGGAATTGACAAGAATGAATTTTCTGGCCTTCTTAAACCTCTCTCATAATCTTCTTATTGGACCAATTCCTCAAGGTCCACAATTCAACACATTTGAAAATGACTCGTATGGCGGTAACCTTGATTTATGTGGTCCTCCTTTATCAAAGCAATGTGGAACGAGTGATCCATCACATGCTCCTCAACCATTGGACTCTGAAGAAGATGAAGACGAGTCATATTTTTTAAGTGGATTTACTTGGGAATCAGTAGTCATAGGCTACAGTTTTGGACTAGTTGTTGGAACTGTTTTGTGGAGCCTCATGTTTAAATATCGTAAGCCAGAATGGTTTGTGGAATTTTTTGAAGGCATTTTCCCCAAGAAAATGAGAAGGTCAAATAAGACAAGGCCGAGACGGCGGATTTAATTGTGATGTATTTTAGTTAGTTGTCTAACTGAACTTTTATGTTTTTCTCTTCTTAATTTTCTGTTTGTTGTTTGTATATGTTTTGATAGCAACTTAATTATTTGTGTTATTTTAATCAGTAGAATGAGCCACCCGTTAACCTGTGACTTAGTGATATATGGAGGCGATTCTCAAATGTTTAGAAACAATATTTGCTTCTGAATTTGCCTGTATAGAGAAACAGATCCACAAGTAATATAGAGATATTGTGTGTGCTTCTTAGTTGCGCGGACTCTTCACTTTTGATGCTGCACCCGTCTCGGATTCTCCAAAAATACACTACTTTTGGCGAATCCGACACGCACCCGTTGGCACTTTTGAAGAGTCCGAGCAACATAGGTGTGCTTTACTTTCTTTTGTATTGTTTTTACTTATTCAAGGACCTGGTCCCTTGAATCCTGCTAGTTCCATACCAGACTACAGTTAACTAAGATGTGTATGTATATTGAAATCTAAATACATCGTGTCGTTCAGTGACAAATTAAACCTAGTGAAGCTTCTGCTCTGCTTCAATTCAAGCAATCCTTTGAAATCTCTCGGCCCAGTCGGTGTTGTAGAGCTTCTTTCCCAAAAACAATCTCTTGGAATGAGAGTACCGATTGTTGCACTTGGGATGGATTCAATTGTGACATGTTTACAGGTTATGTTATCGGTCTAAACCTTAGTTGTAGTTATCTTTCATGGAACTATTCCTTCAACAATCTCTAAATTGAAGCAACTCACACTTTTAGATCTTTGGTCTAACTGTCTTGGAGGAGAATTTTTGGATGCATTCTCAAACTTCCAAGTGCTAGCTGAATTGGGTCTTTCTAATAACAGCTTTATCGGTTCATTTTCCCCGTTCATTTTAAGCTTGAAACGTCTACAAAGATTAGACTTGTTGAGTAATTCCCTATCCGGTCCACCACCTAGCAATTCCAGAGAAGCTAACTGAACTGTATTATATTTCTCCCTTTGTTTCCCAGTGGTTTTTGCAGAGATAGTTGATGACCTCGAGATGAATACACATCTAGAGAAAAATTAGAACATAGGTGAGTATTAATTATTTTCTCAAGTCTTCTCCGTTTTCTAAGAAGTTTTGTGAAACACTACAAAATATGAGTAACAAGTTGTTAGAAGTGACTAGTACTCATCCATGGACCACAAGTTGTGAATTTAGTGATGCCAAATTAAAGTTGTATTATTTTCTCTCAATTTATGCCAAAGTTGGAAATAGACTTGTGAGGGGGAAAATACCCCATTTTATTTGTCTGGATATTTTTCTTTTTTCTTTAATTTAAACCTCACACTTCCATAGACAAGTCAACAACAACATCAATAACATACCCAGTGTAATCCCTTAAGTGGGGGTTTAAGAAAGGTAGAGTGTACGGAAACCTTATTTCTTTGAGGTAGAGATAGAGAGGTTGCTTTCGAGAATAAAATACAAGTTGTGAGCAACCAATTATGTCCGTCATCAAAAATATCAAACAACATCAGTTGTTTAGAGGCAAATATGGTAATTGGTAAGAGCTTAAAGGTAAATCTGAAGTATTTTATAAGTGTTGGCTTATCTGAGAATTAGATACTAATCCCTCTGTTTCAGTATGCTTGTATGGTTTTGACTTGACATGGAATTTAAAAAAGTAATTTTTTTTTTTTGTATCTTGTGGTCTCAAATTAAAATATGTAGAATGTAACATGAACCACTAATTGGTTCAATGACTTCAAAATTCCACTGTAACATTCTCACTTGACTTAGTCAAGCAATAGTATCTTTTGGAGGTCAAAGTTAAAATTTGAAGCCAAGTTTAGGGTCCAATATATGTATTATGCCATTAAAATATGTAGAATGTACCATGAACCACTTAACCACTAATTGGTTCAATGACTTCAAAATTCCACTGTAACATTCTCACTTGACTTAGTCAAGCAATAGTATCTTTCATTGGAAATTTGTTACAAGTTCTGCACCAAATTTTTCTACAGTGTGTTTACGTAACGGGACCAATTCACATTGTTTTGCGTAACACACACTGCAGAGAAAGTCGATGACCTCGAAATGAAAACAACATTCAGAGAAAACAAATATGGAATAATTGGTACTAGCAACCAAGATTTAAAGACTTGATTGAGTCTTTCTGGAAATTGACTTAACACTGGGGACAATTTTTTTGCAACCACAAATTAGTTTGTGGTAGATGGGGGGCCAGTACCCCATTTTATTTGTCTGGATGTTTTACTTCACAGTCCGATAGACAAGTCAATAACAACTATAACATATTCAGTATAATCTCATAAGTGAGGTCTAGAGAAAAGTAGAATGTGCACAGACCTTATCTCTATGAGAGGGCTCTCGACTCAAAAATAAAGCATGGCCAGGCATTTTGAAAAAGGGATTACGAAAATTAGAGTAATAACAACAATAAAATAATATGAAAAGAAGAGTAGTATAACATACAGATGAATGAACAATATGAAAACAAAATAAAGCGGTATTCGAAGCACAAGATACACTTGTGATACCCGGGAAAATAAAACTATGAATATAATACACGATAGACAAGTCAATCTCCACAAATTCTTTGGGAAGTGATAGAATTTTGAGTTCAAATCATGAAGTTAGTATCCTAGACATGTGTAATACACAATTGCACATAGTATGGACAAGAGGGGGTTGCTTAGGTGGTAGCACCTTCCACCTCTTAGCTTAATGTTAATTATATATACTACTTTATTCATGTTTTAGTTTGACTCGGTGAAGAAGATTCTTGAATTTTGATTGATTATGGGAGAAGGCGTGGAAAAAAACTCTAAAAATTATGTACTGATATTGTATATCATTTTCCATCTATATTGTTATGATTAAAGTCCTAACAAGAATGTGTATGTTGTATTTTTTTCTTCTCTATTTTTTTACTATTTGTTTTTCTTTCTATTAGACTACTTTAATTCTATTTTATATGAATTTCTGAATGTCGTAAATATGCATTTTTAATTGGTGACTTGATTGAAATTTTGCTAACTAGTAACTAAAATTTAAAATTTACCATTACTAGCATGAAAGGAATTAATTTTTTAACAATAAAATACGACCCTCATTTAATGTTTCTTAGTCACAATCTTTAAATTTATTATTTTTATAGTTATTGCATTTTATTACTCATTAAAGGGATATTTTCACAAAAATTACACAAGTGTAACTCATAAACTAGTATATATATATATGTGTGTGGATAATGATGATTGATTTGTAAGAACGAACATTCTGTTAGTTGTTGAATACAAAAAAAATTTTAAAAAAAGATGGGAATTCTGTTTTTCTTTTATTCACTTGTCTGTTTTCTGTTGGTAATTAGTGAAAGTTTTTCTTCTTCCTCTGTGATGATGCATCATGTTTGCTCTCCCACTGAAGCTTTTGCTTTGCTTCACTTCAAACAATCCTTTCAAATCTCTGACCGACCTAGATGTGGGGATGATATCCCAAAAACAAAGTCTTGGAATGAGAGTAGGGATTGCTGCAGTTGGGACGGGTCACTTGTGACATGTTAACTGGTCATGTTATCGGATTGGACCTTAGTTGCAGTCTGCTTAATGGAACTATTCATCCCAATAGCAGCCTCTTCCAACTCCATCATCTCCAGACACTAGACCTTGCTTACAATGACTTCTATTCTTCTTCAATCCCGCATAACATTGGCCGATTGAGGAATTTGAGGCATCTCAACCTTTCTTATTCTTTCTCTGGAGGGGAAATCCCAACAGAAATATCATACCTTTCCAATTTGGTTTCACTTGACCTTTTATGTTATGGATGTGGTCTCCAACTTGATGAGAGAACATTTGAAACAATTCTTCAGAACTTCAGAAATCTGGAGGTACTATCTCTCTATGGTGTCAACATCTCATCTCCGATACCTGTGAATATTTCTTCATCCTCCTTAAGGAACATGGATCTTGGACATACTAATCTGCGAGGTGTTCTCCCAGAGAGTCTTTTCTTTCTGCCAAAATTGGAAACGCTCTATTTGAGTGACAATGATCTTCTCAAAGGAGTTTTACCAAAGATCCACCCGAGCAACACTCTGTTGATGTTGGATATTTCCTACACAGGAATCTCTGGTGAGCTGCCTGATTCAGTTGGCACCTTCAGTTCCTTGAATCAATTGAACCTCCGAGGATGTCAATTCTCTGGTTCCATTCCTGATTCCATTGGCAATCTTACACAAATTTGGCGTTTGGATTTCCGTAATAATCATTTCACCGGCAATATTCCTTCCACAATCTCTCAATTGAAGCAGCTCACATGTCTATATCTTTCGTCCAACTCTTTTTCAGGTGAAATTCCCGACATTTTCTCTAACCTCCAAGAGCTAAGTTGTGTATATCTTCGTAACAACAGCTTCATCGGTTCGTTTCCTTCTACAATTGTAAGCTTGCCACATCTTCTAGACTTAGACTTGTCGAGAAATTCCCTATCTGGCCCACTGCCTAATAATTTTAGCATGCTTCAAAACCTAAACGAACTGCATTTGTTGTACAACTCGCTAAATGGTACCATACCATCTTCGGTGTTTAGCCTCCCTTTACTAGTTGAGTTGCGGCTCGGTAATAATCGATTTAGTGGACTACCCAATGAGCTCAAAACAAACCCAAAATTAGAACGCCTGGGTTTAAGCCATAATCAACTCAGTGGTTCTTTTCCTCAATCACTTGCGAATCTCACAAACCTTTCTACCCTTGACCTTTCATCGAATAACATCACCGGTGATGCTGGAATAAATATCACCTTTCCTAGCCTAGAAATTTTGCAGTTATCATCTTGTGAACTGAAGGATTTTCCACACTTCTTGACAAATGCAAAGAAACTTCATGTCTTGGATATTTCTAACAATAAGATTCGTGGCCAAATCCCAAACTGGTTTAGTAGCATAAGGTGGGACTACTTGTACTACCTAAATCTTTCGCATAATTCTTTAACAGGCCACCTACAACAATTTCATTTCCATAATCTAAGGTATCTTGATCTTAAATTTAACTCCCTTCAGGGTCCACTCTCTTCATCCATTTGTAACATGAGCGATCTTAAATTTCTAGATTTATCACTCAACAACTTCAGTAACTTGATTCCAAGTTGCTTGGGAAGCAAGGCTAAACTAAGAGTGTTGGACTTAAGAAGGAACAATTTCATAGGGAGTCTTCCCCCGTTATGTGCGAAGAGCACTTCATTGAGTACCATTGTCTTGAATGACAATCACTTTGAAGGAATTCTCCCTATGTCGTTGCTCAACTGTAGTGGTTTAGAAGTTCTTGATATGGGGAATAATGCTATAAATGACACATTTCCAGCTTGGCTAGGAACACTTCAACAACTGCAGGTCTTAATATTAAAGTCTAATATGTTCCATGGACCAATTAGTACTTGTCAGACTACATTTTGCTTTCCCAAGTTGCGAATTTTTGATCTTTCACGTAATGAATTCAGTGGCTCTCTCCCTGCAAAAGTTTTTGGAAACTTTAAGGCAATGATTAAATTAGACGATGAAGTCTCAGGAGAGATCAAGTACATGAAAACATTCGGGACTGTATATTCCACACCGTATGAGGATTCTGTGAGTTTGGTGATCAAAGGCCAGGATATTGAGCTAGAAAGAATCAGCACAATTATGACAACCGTAGACCTCTCGAGCAATCATTTTGAAGGTGTCATTCCTATAACACTAAAGGATCTCAGCTCACTTTGGCTACTCAATTTATCCCATAACAATCTCATAGGTGATATTCCAATGGAATTGGGGCAATTGAATACGCTTGAAGCGTTAGATCTGTCTTGGAATCGGCTCACTGGAAAGATTCCACAGGAATTGACAAGAATGAATTTTCTTTCCTTCTTAAACCTCTCTCATAATCTTCTTATTGGACCAATTCCTCAAGGTCCACAGTTCAACACATTTGAAGATGACTCGTATGGCGGTAACCTTGATCTATGTGGTCCTCCTTTATCAAACCAATGTGGAACGAGTGATCCATCAGATGCTTCTCAGCCAGTATTGGACTCTGAAGAAGATGAAAACAAGTCATATTTTTTTAGTGGATTTACGTGGGAATCAGTAGTCATAGGCTATAGCTGTGGACTAGTTGTTGGAACTGTTGTGTGGAGCCTCATGTTTAAATATCGTAAGCCAGAATGGTTTGTCGATTTTTTTGAAGGCATTTATCCCAAGAAAATGAGAAGGTCAATGAAGAGAGCTCAGAGACGACGGACTTAATGGAAGATTGCAGGAGTGGACTTTTTTGTTTTTTAATTTTCTTTTTGTTGTTTGAATATGTTTGACAGCAATATAATTGCATGTGTTATTTTGTGAATTTCCACTGCATTAAAACTAATGCTCTCCAATCAATAATTCCTTTAGCATATATAAAAAAAATTTAAACTCAAAATAAAAACAAGAGGACAAAAAACATAATTTTCCTTTTTACTAAAACAATTTATTCAATTACATTCTTGAGTTTAATCAGCTTCAACATGTTTGATAATATCATCTGATCAAGTAATTAATATTAAAAATGATGGATTTAAGATCACTCAAATCCTCTTATAAATTGATTATTGTATAATGTTGGTCTTGATGCCTTTTCACTCAATTGAAAGAATGAGCCAAAGCTGTCATGACATGAGCTTTATCTGATATAATTTGTGTAGTTGAAGGATGTCCCAAAACAATACATTCTTCCACATATCACTAATTTCTTGTTGTATATTATTAGTATATTTTGGTGTCGATTCATAAAAATCGCTCCCATCTAACATCTCTATTTGGAAAGTCTGGTGCACTAAGTTCTCGTTATGCACAGAGTCCTGGAAAGGGTCATACCACAAGGGTTTATTATACGGGGCCTTAGCTTGCATACTTATTTCTCTGTCTAAAACAGAGGTACTCTGTTCCATGGCTGAAGGTACACTGTTTTTGTTCCGACATTGCCTGATGCACCGTTTATTGTGTTGGATTTGAGAAGGATTTTTCGCGAATGAAGTAGTACTTGACGATGCTGAGTTAGTCACGTCTATGTTCTTATCAGACGGGGCCAGGTCTCCGAGGAACAGATGTGGGAAATTAAGACGTGCATCTGTTCCTCTGAGCCTAAAGGCCTCGACATCATAAGCAAAAGCAGCTGCTTCAGCACTTTCAAACGTGCCTAACCAAAGTCTAGTTCATTTTTTGTTGGCTGTGTCATCATTGATAAACTCCCTTTTAAAATTATATATATATATATATATATATATAT